TATATATATAAAATCTGCTCCTTTGATATTTCCCTTCGTTGTTTCTGATTTTTTTCCCTCTTGTCTCATCTGACTGTGTTGCTGCTCTCAGAGATCGTCTCTCATTGAACCCCCTCTCCAGCTTCAGCAGCAGAGGGTCTTCTCTGCCTTGGCAACAGTGGCACATTACCATGTACCTGCTGGGATGAGAGGAAATGCGTTGATTTGTTGTCGCTGTGAAGCTGGCGTGTGTGTGTGTGTTGCTCAGTCCGTTACAGCCTCGCTCAAACAATACGAGCAGTGTTTATCTCTGCTGAAGGTTTTAAACAGGAGGCTGAAACTTTGGATCATTATTAGCACAGGATTACCTCAGTGATGTCGCCTCCAGCCGTTCTGACTTATCGTGGACAGGGAAGAGATGAAGTGAAGGCAGTTTTTTTTTCTCACCCGTTTCTCTTTCAATTTATCTTTTAAAAACAACTTTGGTGAGCATGTTTGTCCAAAGTGCTTTAATGTTGCTACAACTCTGTGGTGTGGCACTTTTAGTTTAAAAAAAGCTCATACACTGACAACGCAGGGTGAGGTTAAAGACAAGAAAGATGAAGAAGAATGCTGACCTGACTCTTTCTCCCGTGTTGACCCTTGGTCGTCATCCAGCGTCAAGTCATTCAGCAAGTGCTCCAGGATTTTCTCGGGGGTCCCGGACACCACCACGTACCTGTCGGACACGACAGAGTCAGAAGACGAGTCCTCCCCAATAGAGGACAGAGAGCGGCTGCTGCTCCACTCCTCCTCTCCCTCCGTCCCCTCGTCGTCTATGTAGCGAAAGTAGGGGACGTCGAAGGTGGGCACGGTCACCGGCTCTGCCCGGCTGGTGCCTCCGCTGCTGCTGCTCTCCTCCTCCTCCTCGTCCTCCTCCTGCTCCACCAGGGCTGCGTGCAGCAGCAGCTTGCCCTCTTCCTGCTGCAGGTTCAAGGACCGTGGACGAGATCCCATCCTCAAGCAGCTCCTGCTCCTTCACGCCGGCTTCTGCTGTTCCCGCATGACTCCTTTACACTTTCATCCATCCGCCTTCAACTCCTACTACCAGTGTTCCACTGCCATCTATCCTCCAAGTCCGATGATGGATGACAATACAAAAAAACCCTCTTCAGCTACTTGAATGTGAAATCTCTGCCTCGCAGTTTCATTTAGCTCACTTCTGTATTTAATGTAGTCATGTGTGTAGAGCTGCGATGTAAAGCACGCCTGAGTGAGTGTGTGATCGACAGAGGCAGGGAAGAAGAAGGATGAGAGGGGGAGAATCCAGAAGGAGAGAGAGAGAGGGGTGGAGGAGAGAAGAGGCTTACCTCCTGTTCTTCGCCTCGTCTCTCCCTCCTCCCCTCGCCAATGCAGCGAGCGCTGGCTGTGCTGACGACACTCTCCGTAGCACGAGCACATCGTGGCCCTGGTCGCTCAGACTCAGGCGCACTGCTTCGTCACTCTGGGGCTGTAGAAGAGGGAGAAGTGTGTGTGTTGGGGGGGTGTCATCAAGGAGATTCCCTTGTCTTTTTTCCTTTCATTCATACAATTCACAAATGATTTCCATCATAATACTGTGTCATAGATGAAAGAGAATGTCCATAAATCATTATTTTGCCCTTATCGTAGGAGCCCATTTGGGGATTAACATAAATGAGTCACATACTTAAATTGCTGATTTATGCATAGAACCAATTAAATTATGGGTGGTGTCGGGGGGGGGGGGTCTCTTTCAAGCTGTCATTTGGTTATTCTGTGCATATCGAAATAAAGGGTTTGAAGTAAAGCTCAGGCTTCATCCCTCACAGTTTCACCAAAACCGTCATGCTCCAAAAGTAAAGTATGGTTAGGTTGAGATGTGGAGGAATAGTTTAAAACCTGATTAAAATGTAGTTTACTTAAACTAATGTGCATTGCAATAACCTAAAATTTAAAAATGATAGCTTACAACGCAGTTTAAACTTTCATTTAAATTCAGGTTTTTACAGACACACGTCATCAGTGTACAAATGCATTTTAATTTGTGCATATTTAAATATGGATACTAAATTATTATCCCACAATGTAGTTATTGAACTCTGCTTAATTAAATAAAATAACTTATTGATTATTCATATATATGTAATTTATTTAACTCATCTCTCCTATTGCGTTTTTCCAAGCTTTTTAAAGGTAGCGCAACCCCTGCTGGTTGCCGCGTGACCTGATCACCTTTTGCCTCGTTTTTGTCATGTGTGTCTTCTTGAATGGGTGTTCTTAATTGTAATTTCATTGTGTTCCATACAATGACAATAAAGGCATCAATCAATCAATTAATCAATCAATCAATCAATCAATCAATCAATCAATCAATCAATCAGTCAATCAATAATCAATCCAGATTGTCATGTCTGTGTTTTATTTATTGAATTATTTTGAGTTAAATGTAAGCCTCCTTTATTTAAATAAAATTGATTATTTTGAAATTATTTGCATTTTTATCATTTCTTTCATCCGTTATACACACATGGGGGCTTGTCCGGGATGCTCTGCACTTTCCAGTTGCTCAGTTTAGTGATGAACCTCTTGAGCTTGTTTTTTGTTCAAGTCATAGATGGTTCCCTTCATCCATCAAGCTTGTTGAGAAGGACGTATTTCCTCTGATCTGTAAAAACGTCCTCCAGGCAGAGTGTACACCAGCTAGGAAAGTATTTCATGGTATGAATTCTTTTGATTCCTGTTTTCTTCTGCAGCTGACCAAAGTTTGTGTTTCTAAATTTAGCAGTTCGCTGAGAGTAAAGAGGCCAAGTTTTAAAACGAGAGACTAGTTACAAAGAATAGTAAAAACGCAGATACTTGGTTGGCTTTAAATACAAGTTTAAGATTTTATAGGCATGTTTAAAAATTTTAAACATGCTTTGATGAACTCTGATGAGAAGCAATTAATCTTTGATCTAAATAAATTATTTTGCTTTGGACAGAACAGCTTAAATGTAATGTTTGAATTTTTTATCTAGTTTTTCATCTATACCATCCTTTTTTTCAACTGAAGAGAAAATACATCATTAGATGTCAGTTAACATTTTTAAATAAAATACTCCTATTCAGATGAAAGGGATTTTATTATTCCCATGTATCTTTTAAAGACTGTTGGATAGACAAAAAACAATAATTTTATGTGTATTACTTAAAGCTTTACTCTTTACAGTCTAGTTATTATTTTCAACAGAAAAAAACTGTTTCACTTTCTGAAGCATATTAAGGCTTGATAACAGAGAGTCCAGATCAGTTACGTAGGTCTTAATGAGGCCTCGACCGTATGCACACTCATCATCCTGCCTCCGTTTAACCACTCCTCAGCCATCAGTCAATGCATCACCTCTCCTCATGCAATTAGCCAAGGCCTGACAGGCTGGATGTGGCTGCAGTTTGCCGYTCTAATTACGTTTTGTGGAGACAGATCCAGGGTTCTTCAGTTAGGCATGACTTCCTGGCACATTAACACATTTCAGTGGATATATACGTATATATGTAAAACAAACAAACTGCAGGGATGTTTCTGATAGTTGTTGCTAATCCCAWGATAACACAAAAAAAGACAAGTGCAAAAGAAAAAAATCTGATTTGACGTAATGAGGGCAGTGAAGGGGTGGAGAAAGTGCATTTTGCTGTCACAGGATTTAGACCCTGATGAGAAGAACAGAGTTTGAAAATTCCCAGGAAAGGAAGAAAGCTCTGATTGACTTCCTGATTCCAGTAAAAAAATAAAACACAAGTGGTTCCCGGCAGATCAAATTTATGACGCCCACTGTGTACTTCTACTTCAGTCAGAGTTGTCAAAATCTAGTTTTTGTTCTGCAYAACACGACAGTAAAGCCAGAGTACTTCGGCTACAGTTGTCACCCTGCTCTCATAGATCTGGCCTCAGCTTCTCAAGGCTAACGCTCAACACTTGTATTAAACTGTGTTGTAATACTAAAAGCAGTCAACTAGGCCTCTTGAGTTGGGAAATAAAATGGGATCGAGCATCAGACCACAAGCTTCCCTCAGACACGTCTTCTCATCATAAAAACTATCAAACCAAAAAATCGTCATAACATAGAGTTTTGTGCAAAGCCATCAAACACTTCCCTGCCTCTGCCTGCATTTCAGATGAATTCCTCTGGCCAAAGACACTCTCTCAGCTCATTTGCTGGTGCAGCACAAACATTATTGAACACTTGACGAAATCTGCAAATATCGCAGTTCTGACAGAGTGCAGATGTGTTCAATCTGCTCTCAAGAAATAGTGTTAACTCTTCATCCACCAGCAACAACACAATTTCCAAAAACAGTAAAATATTTTTAAAATGTTTTCGGAATTATTATTATTATTATTATTTTATGCTTTCTAAAATAATTAGTTCAGAAATTTTGTGTAGGCTATTGTTTTAAATTTTTGGTAATTTTTCTCTGATTTGGTGCATTCTGTTTTTACCATATTTCCTGAAATATTTCATTTTGATGGCATTTTTATATGTAGGGTTTCAGAACAATTGTTTTTTTCTGATCATTGTGTCCAAAACATGATTATGACATTAATGCACATTTTTCACAAAGATCCTTTTTTAAGCAACTGAGTTGCAATTTAATGGTAAAAATCCCCCAAAAAATGATGCAACTTTTCATCTTTGAATTACCAAAAACAATAATATAATGGTGAAATAAATTGTTATATTAAACTGTGAAATGTACTGACCAGATTTTTATACTGAGAATGAAAAACTGACTATTAAAATCTTAAAATTATCTGTTTTAAGATTACAAGAGACTGCATAAGGTTTATGATCACTCTGCACTAAAATCCATCAAACACGTGCACAAATGTACAGCTTAATGTACATTAAGCACTAAGCACTTTGGTGTCTGACATTAGATATTAATGAGCCACACGTCATACAGCCTGTGCATGGTAGCAACACTGCAGCACCACTTTAAGCCATTTTACACTGAAGAAACACAAGAAAAATAATTTTATTAACACCAATATTTCTAGATAAATGTCAAATATTACTAAATATAGGTCAAATACTGTATAACCACAGTCTGTGATCACAAATGTGTATTTTATAACATTTTATCTTCTAAATATAAAATATTTCTGCAAATTAAACAGCTAAAATGTAACAAACTGTTGCATAATTTCTGTCATTTGATTGTAGTGAGACGGGTGGTGGTGGATTTTGACTTTATTACTGACGCAGGTGTGAGATCTAGCCTTGTCCAGGAGAAAAGGTCAGAGATCTGACGTACGGGAACCCGCCCTGAGACCACACAATGTCCAAGCATGATGGAGCCCGCCACCTACGTCACTCCTTCCTGCGATTGTTTAACAGTTTAGCAGGCAAATGCAGCTGGCAGGAAGGGAGAAGTTCAGCCCTTTTGTGTTAGCCAATCAGATGGCTTCTATGCAGCTAACTTACAAGTGATGTAATGCGTTTTTTTTTAAGTGCACACTGGTACAGTGTGTGCACTTGCATTTTCACAAGTGACAGATGCTAGTTGACGCTTTGAAACAAACGCCCACAGCAAACACAACTTTAGGGTGCTGTACAGTTTTGTATTAAATCATGAATTTTCCTAATGAAAATACAAAGGTCAAATACATTGTATTAACTGCATGTATAATGGATGACATACACTTAAATGTAGAACCTTATCAGGTGCAGCCAGTGGTGTCATTAGGCCTATTTTAGGGGAGCTAGAGCCCCCTAAAATATTTTAAAGCCCCCCTTAATTATTTTGTAGTAAAAAAAATTTGGTTTTAATTTTTTTTACAAAAATTCAATATGATATGGTCAGAATAAATAACCATTTAATATTTCATTATTAACTAAAATAAATGATCATAAATCTGTCAGTTTCCCTTTAAATTTATAGTGTAAGGTAGAGATCCTCTTTGGTGCGTCGTTATCCAATCCATTCCACTTGTTCATATAGAGTGTGTATATATATAAATTCTGTGTGCCTCCTGGGGGCGAAGCCCCCCATGTCCTTAAAACCTAATGACACCCCTGGGTGCAGCTCTGCTAAAACAGTCTAAATTCCATTTTTAGTTTGTTTAAAACTTTTTTGCCTGATGCATTGACATTAGTTATAATATAATGAAAGACAACAGATTACCAAAATATTTGATTAATTAAACATTTTATAAGAAAGCAGCATAAAGCACCAAAGTACTGCAGCTTGTCTTGTGTTCCTCACCTCACTCGTCCTCTCCGAAACCTTGCTGTGATTTTGCAGAAACCGGTAGCCATCCTTTGCCAGCCTCTGGACCATTTCCAGCCTGGACAGTTCCTCCTTGTCACGCAGGATGCACTTGTTACCCTGCTGCAGAGCAGGGGACACAGAGAACATGTACTTGAGTCCACAGTCCCACGACATGGTCAGCTACCGACTTACTGCCTTCCCAACAGGCAAAAAACTCTTAAATGAGCGAACAGCGAAAACAGTTTTTGTGCTATAAGTAACAGAGTTTTCTGTCACTGCTGTCAAAATACATCCAAGTTTCTGTTCAGCTTTGCATCAGAAAGTCCCTCTTAAAAAATATCTCATCAGTTAAACTTCAAGTATACAGTCCTGTGTGGCTGCCTGGACTAAATGTACATACGAGTACACTTTTTGTACCTTGCACCAGAGGGGAGGGGAGAGACTTAGGAGCGCCATGAGCTGAGGAAACATCTGGTGAGCCAGACAACCCCAAAAAGGAAGTTTCGAAATCTCACGAAAGCAGGAGAGAGTCAGGATTCAGGACTGGGCAGGGTACGCAAAGGTCAAACCTTTTAACAGGGTGTGTTAGTTAGTTTACAACACCAGGGGAAACACAGGTCAATTTACAGTTAAAATAAATACAAATGATTAAATTATTGCCACTTGAAATCAGCTTCTTCAGTAAACAGAAGTTATACAGCCCCTTGCATAAAACAATGGAATCACCAGTCTTGGATGAGCACTCATTCAGGCATTTCATTCTGTAAAACAAACTCAGATCAAAAACATTCAATTCAAAAATTCAAAAATACTATATTGATCCCAGAGGGAAATTTGGTAACATGATACAATAATAAGGTCATTCCAAAGTGCAACTTGTTGGCTTTCAGGAACACTCAAAGAAATGAAGAGAAAACATTGTGGAAGTCAGTGAATGTTACTTTTATTGACCAAGCACAGGGGGAAAAAAGTATAGAATCACTTAAATTGGAGGTAGAAAATAAGGACACACCCAGTCAGTTTCCTTTCCCTAAATGGACACCTGCCTCAGATTAGATCTGCTCGTTAGTCTGCTGTTAAAAACACCTGCAGTCATGACACCTTGGAGGGCAGCTGGACGGAGTGGAGTGGCAAGAACCATGGCTCCAACAAGAGAAATGTCTCTTGAAACAAAAGAGAGGATTGTGGAACTTCTTGAAGAAGGAAACTCTTCACACATGGTTGCTAAAGATGTGGGCTGTTMACAGTCAGCTGTATCCAAGATATGGACCAAATACAAACAGCATGGAATGGTTGTTAAATCCAAGCGTACTGGTAGACCAAGAAAGATATCAAAGCGTCAARACAAACAACTTAAGGCCATTTGTCTTGAAAACTGAAAAAGTACAACTAAACAGATGAAGCATAAACGGGAGGAAGCTGGAGTCAATGTATGTGACCGAACCGTAAGAAATCGCCTAAAGGAAATGGGATTTCTTGGGATTTCTGCTCAAGAGAAAATACATAATGATGAACAGGTAAGGTAGACTGAGTACATTTGAGATGTGTATTGTTGACACCAAACTAGTCTTAGTTGTGATTTTTGCTGTGCACGTGTATTGGTGTCTTCTTTGATAGTGGAAAATTTGAACTCCATGAAAGGTGCCACTCCAAATATATCGACAAAAATATTTTTTGGCAGACTAGATTTTAACTTTACCATGTCTCTTCTACGGTGAATATCTTATTATCCTTATGTGACATATAAATGTGACTTGAATTTATGCAAACATTATTTTGTCCCCTAAAAGATAACATATTTCATGACATCATGGCATTAAACGACATTACATAATCCAGTGAAATGTGCAACATGGTCACCTGGGTACAGTTGAGACACACTGTCTCAACTGTACCCGACGGTGATTTGCATGGTGTTTAGCAGCAATAATTAAGTATGTTCATTCTTCCATTTGACTTTAATGGACATGTAATAAGCTGTTATTTGAATGCATACCATTCATGTGGATTTTAGAGCATTTGGTAATACCAATATATTGTAAAAATATGTTAACAATCAACAAATTATTGTGTATCTGTTAAATATTAAATTTGTTTAGCTGTTTTTTTTACCTTTTTAACCTATGCTAGAGTCAATGTAAATGAAATAAAAGTATTGATATGTAACACTGATCATTTTTATATACAGTTTATTACATTAGCAATGATTGACTTGTTAGCTTTCCAGCATTTTGAATGGTGTCTCAACTGCATCCTTACATTTTTTTATGAGTACAAGTTGGGACAAAAAATAACATTTTGTTTTTGATTGATTGTGAAAAATATAAACCAATAACAAAAATATATTATTTTCAGAGTGTTTTTAGTGTCTAACTTTTGTGTGGAAATGGGGAAAAGCTGAAACTGTCTCAATTGTACTCACTAAAGGACTCCACTGGCCCAAGGGTGACTTCAATCTGGCTCGCCAAAAATTTTAATTTTTTTTTACATAATTTATTTTTAAAAATTGTATTAAATGGTAAATTTTAAATTTATGATACAATGCAAAAAAAAAAAATAAACAAACTTAATTTCACCTACCATTATCATGTACTCCGGCTTTCTCCCACAGACCAAAAACATGCATGTTAGGCCAACTGGTAACTCTAAAATTATCCCAAGGAATGAGTGAGTGTGTGAATGCTTCTTTGTCTCTGTGTCCCTGTTTTGTCAAAGCTCTCCTAAAGGTTTGACTCTTTATATATAAAAYGAATCTTGTCAGCTGTTTAGTGAACCTACAATAAAAACAGTGTGATCCAATAGTGCATGTATTGATCAAACAAGAACATTAATTTTGTATATGAACACTGTTTGTCTTTTTCACCTCTGTCAGCAGTGACATGCTTGGCTAGATCCTCCCAAAGCCATTCAATTTCTCTGCTACTCCAAACTGCTGACCAAGCAGAGTCCAGAATGAGAAAAGTCTGCATCTGGTGGGAATCTTTCTTTCATTTGAGGTCAAGTCCCATCAATCCACTCTGCTCCTTTGATGCATCTGATTGGTAGCATTGGTCTTTTAGAGCAGCTTACACAGTATTGGGGCTAAAATAAAAATTGAAACCAGCTCATTTATAGTTGGTTGCTCACAAGTAGCCACTGACTATCTTTGCATTACGAGTGCAGTCGTTTAACTAAGGAAAGAAAAGGGAAAAGTCTGCAGTAAGAATAAACYAGGGGGGCAAATCTAGCTTTAATGTGCCACCACTGACCCAGTTTCTGAAGTAAATGAATTAAAAAGTGAGAATGCCTGAAGCCAGACTTATTAGCGAGCGTGCTCCAATGTTGCTCTGTGTAAACAGGGACTGCCACAGCAACCTTGGGAGCTGCGCTGCTATACTGTAGGCCTGCAGCACTGTGAAACAATAAGGTGATGAAACTCATCCCGGCTTGTTACAAAATCCCCTTTTTTTCTCTCAAGTCTGACAACTGAAAGATCTTAAATGACTAAAGCAATGGCGCTGTCTAACAGAGGGATTAAAGTGTAAACGGTGTTCTGCTCGGAAACTGTGACGTTAATTTGAAGGGATCCTGATAGGGACAGTGGGACACAAGCTTGCTTGACTTCAAAGGGGAAGTCATGCCATTCTTCAGCAAAGGATCACTGCTGTTTTCTGCTATTCTTAGACCGCTAAGGCCTTCCTGGCCATCTGGAAAGAAAACTACAAATCTACAAAAATGGAATCTTTCTGTGCAAACTCTACAAAGCAAATGTTTGCACATTTCCACTCACAAAAACAAACACAACTGCAGCATTTATTTTAGTAAAAAATGCCAAAATAATATTTTGGGAAACCAAAGCCTAATTTTTACCACCACACATATACAATATATAAGCATTTGCTTTTCTGGCTCCAAAACACCAGATTTAAATTCATTGCTGATTAAAAGGCAAAAACATAACTTGATAACCTGAGATCGTTTGATCAGTTGAATCAGTGTGTTTGTGCAGGACAACCAAGGAAACAAAAAATAACATGATACAAAAAGATTGTGGATAATGTGTATTGCTCTTTCCTAAAGATAAAACCACCAAATTATGTTATAGATTTTATTGTAGTAATTAGCTGTTAGCTAACATCAAAGCTAATGTGAGTGAATAGCTTAATCTACAACTGTAGCTAAATATGAGCAAACTAGGCTCTAGCAAGCTAAATTCCAAAGCTAATGCGAGCAACGCTTTTGTCAGAAGTGCCAAAAAAGTGGAATTTGGGAAAACGTGGTATTCACACTCTTCCATTATTTTTGTCATAGTCTGTGTTTATTTTTGCTTTGGTTTTCCTGGTGTTTCAGTGTTTCCCCTGTGTTTCTCTGCTCAGCTGCCCCGCCCTTGTGCACCTGATTGCCCTTGTGTTTCCTCCAGGTGTTTCTAGTTTGTCCTCATTAGTTTACCTTTTTATATTCGGTGTCCTGCCTTCAATCTGTGTCTGATCATTGTGCTGTGTTGTCCAGCCTGTTCGTTTGCAGCCAGTGTGTTTTTGAAGCCTAAAAGTTAAGTTTGTGTAAGTTTTTTGAGCTGCCCTGCCAGCACCTCTTTTGTAAATAAATCTTTTTTGAGAATCCTGTCTGTGCCCTGTTATCCTCTGTCTGAGATAGACAATATTCACTTTTTTTTAACCATACACTGGAGTTCCATTTCCAAAAGAGAATACATTGTACGTACCTGGAGGTGAGGAGGGAGGTTGCAATCATCATTCTTCTTGTCTGTCTTAACAAACACTGTCATACCGAAACAGCAAAAAACAGTTTATTTCCTAAACTGAAAATTAAAGACATTAGATGAATTGGTTAACTTGTTAAGCCTTGTAGTGAAATAAGTTTGTGACACTCAATCCACAGGCTACATAGAATAAGTCTCATTTTAGATTTACTAATACTATTACTTTAGCTAACGAAAAAACTGACAGATCTGCATTGATTTAATTTTCAGGTGTGCAGTGGAACTATCTGCAGTGATCTCATTCACCCGTATTGTGAGAACAACAGCAGCAGCATCTTGCAGAAGGTATTTGAAGGGTAAGTGYATAGTTGTGATTAAAAACATTGCAGACGAATGAAACATTGTTTCTTCCAGAGTGTTACTGGCTGGTGTAGGCATATTATGCATTAGTAAGGAGTTTATATTCATTCTTTTCATTTACTCTAAGCTTGCCAAGAGGTGCCAGAAAACTGTGGTGGTATTGTCTAATCTTTACAAGACACTGACATGGTAATAAGAATTATAAACGACATCAAAAGCCAGAGTATGAGAGGCCYTTTAGGCCATAATTCAAACTTGCTCTCACATATACCTTCAAACCCTCTCACCAGTGTTTTATAAAGTGCCACAAAGTAATACTTGAGTAAAAGTACAAGCATCTTAACAAAAACTTACTTTGGTAAAAGTTAGAGTCTCCTTTAGGAATATTACTTGAGTAAAAGTCTTAAAGTATCTGTTTTTTTTGTTTTTTTTTTGTAGTTAAGTATTAAAAGTAAAAGCATTGATTTAAAATGAGCAGTTAGATTTTCTGTAAGGACATTTATTAGGAGGTGACCTCCCCAAAAAATGCAGAAATGACTGTTGTATTAAAATAATTAATTGATGTTAAATTTAGGATGCACTAGTCCAGCTGTTTCAGTTTATATACATATGTCAAGGGTGACCAAAGCTTTTCCCCAAAATGAAAATCTATCTGAGGGCTGCGGCCAAATGCAATAATATAATTCATGAAATACAAATACTTCCTTAAGTATAGTACCTTATTTTAATGATTTAAGTCCTGCTGGAGTGTGACATGATTTGTTTGTGTACAAACTAATACAGTATCAGAATTTTATATATTTATACTTCTCATTCAGCCACAATTAAATTCACTCTATAGGGGGCACAATTTATATGGATAGTATTTATTTTTTACAATAACAAGCTGGAATGACAACAACAAAAATGAAATAAAAGTAACGACTTTTTACTTCTTGCCTTTTAAAAAAATATAAGGAGTAGAAAGTACAGGTAATCGTGTTAAAATGTAAGACGTAGAAGTAAAAAGTAGGCTGAAAAATAATTACTCAAGTAAAGTACAGATACACAAAAATTCTACGTAAGTACGGTAACAAAGAATTTGTACTTAGTTACTTTACAACTCTGCCTCTCACACAGTAAATGTGAGAGACTTTGATAGTACATATGAGAGCAAGTTTGAATTATGGCCTAAAGGGCCTCTCATAAAAGCCTACTAGCTTACAGCTGCTGTATAGTCCTTGTACCCCAGATACTTTTGTCATGGGTTACATTTACAGTTTAATTCTGATTATTTAGAATTTATTCACTACCATTCTGCTATACATTTCTTAGATATTATACATCTTATTCAAGGGTATTTGGACAAAGTTGATGGGAAAATCTCTTTTATTACCATTGGAGGTAGATGGGAAAAGAGCTTTGCATACATTTATGTAGCCAAGACTTGCGCCAAAAATAATTTGTCAACTTTTATTTTCATAAATGTTTCAGGCTTTGAAATGAGAACAATGTGTACAGGAATTTCACAAAGAAATTATACAAATATATTAATGTGATACTTGTATGACACATATTCAAACTTACTGTCATTGTATATGAAAAAATATGAACACGTTTTTGCATTTACTAAGTAAAATACGGTGTTTTTGTTCTTAGCTGAGGTAAAGTAATGTTTAGTTCATCAGAACTACAGAACAAAAAGGAAAAACAATTTTACTAATAGCAGTGACATTTGCTTTTTATGCTTAACACAGATTTAAAACATGCCACAAAAACCTTAAGTTCTTAAATTTATTTAAAAATAATAAGGTCACTCTATCAGGGATTGAAATAGTTTATCAAATTTATACTAATCTAAGTACACAAGCCATAAGATCAAATATAGTATTACCATATACAATTCTGCTGAAATTTGACTCAAGTACCTGCTGTAATGTGATAAGAATCATGTTAATTCACATTTATGTGCATTAAAAAGGCAAATGTTTGCTTGATTCATCCACAGAGAAACAAACCAGGTGAAAGAAATGCTTCTGTCATTTCATTTGTCCAACAAAAGGGGAGACTGCTTTTCAACTTTTAAAATCTGACAGTCTCACATACAGTTCCCTTATCCTCCTTTTTGGACTTGCTGGAGTATTTCCAAGTGGACGGATCAGTAACATCAATGCCACTTGTTTGAGTACTGTTTTGTCTTTATGTTATTTTTTTATTTACATCATTCCCTATTGGGTTGTCCACACTGTCGACTTGACTGATTCCATCCAACCATCCATCCATCCATAGAAAGCCATGTGTGGCAGCAAACATGTTTGAATGTCTGACAGCTGCAGTGACTCTGCAGAGTTTGCACAGAAATGCACTGATGCCTTATCTATTACCGTTTAAACCCTGTTCTGCTAAATCCGGATGCTTCCACCGGAGGCATCATCCGTGCATTTATTGTAGCCACCTCAACTTGTGTCTCCCACTCTTCTTAACCTGAGTTCATGTTGACGGCGGTTCCGTTCAGGGAAGCAAGTGAGGTGGGACAGGCGCTTGCTGTGCAGTGCTGAAATGAATGGCTAAGCAAAGTGCTGCGATATATGATCAAGAGAGAGAGAGGCATTCATTTCACAGGTGCAGAGTGGATCCAGTGCTTATAAGCTTTTCATGCCTGGATGCGTAAGCCACGTTTCCTCACTATGTGCCAAGGCGGTCTTTTCTCTTGGCTTTGTGTGCATACACAAAATACATACTGTGCCCAGAAGCGATGAATAATACAGAAATAATAACTAGAATGCCAAAGTGTTCTGGTTGTGGGGCAGAGATCACCATGATGAAGTGAAGTAGGTCCATTAGGTAATTCATAGAGCTCTGCACCCCATTCACCACTCCTCTCTCTGACTCGCAGATGGTCTCCTGCAGTAGCTGGGTCACAGTCAGGTCGAAGGACCACAGACCTGAAACASAGTGGATCAGCAGAATTAGGCCCCACACTTGAGCTTTTCACACCAACCCAGAATTAAGTGGAGCTGTTAATCTCCTGCTGCTATAAAAGTGGACGATGATGAACTAGAAATAGTTAATGAAGCTCTTAAACACTGATATACATCAGTTGGAGTCAGTCTGGTTCAAGATGGCTGTTGCAACGTATCTGCAACAACCCCCCCCCCCAAAAAAAGAAGAAATTAATAAATGTAGAGGTATTGAGCTAAAATTTGAAGTGAGAGATGCTAGAAAATTCTGAGTTCCAACAGGTCCTGCAAGATGTTACGCATGCAKGGTGGCGGGTGATATCCGTTCCTTGGAGAAATGCTACTTTCACAATATCTATTGAAGGTCATGGTTACCAAGGTTATTACAGCACATTGTATACTGACATTTAAATTTACTTTTGCTTACCTGGGCAGTTCTGAGCTCTTTTTTTTTAAAATAGCCTCAGTGTTTTAAAATTAAAATTCCACAATTAAAAAAACTTGATTCATGTTTCTCTGTTGCCCTCTTGTGGACAGGCAAACAAAAATCCCTGAAGGGCAATTTAAACTGAAGAAGGTTGTAAATAAGGTGGTAGTTTCTGTGCAGTCAGAGGAATCGGTGTTTGAACAGCTGACTGGTTATTTCAGAGCAGATGTCAGCTTTCTAAAACAACTCATTGAAATTAACAGCTCTTTACTTTCACATCATACAGTTACATTAGACACACTTACATTGGGTGTATTTTACCACATGGGTTTTGCACTAAACATTTCGCAGATTGTGTCCCAACACTTCTAGCCTTCATTAATAATAACCACAGACTTTAGTGTAAATAAGAAATGTGAAAGTGCTGCAGTGGTTTTGGCAGAGCATTTATTCGAACTGCATTTTTTTTCCCACACACAGGTGAAATCAAATTCATTATCAGTGAGATCCGGGGTAGTTTGAGTAAGAAGGGAGATTTTTTMTTTGTGTGTGTACATTACTGCCTTATGGTTGACTGTTTCTGTCAAAGTGCTGCTACCATATCAAAGTTAGAATTGGTCTGCAGATGTTTAAGTGGGTGACTAAYGTCAAAGTAAGATCTGCAGTGTGTAAATGCCAGGTTTGAGCATCAAAACACTGCTTTTACAAGATGAACTAGCCTGGTCAAAAACAGTTCTACTCTTTGCTACGTACAGGGGGTCTGCACTCTCGGCTGTTGAGAAAAAATTTCTTGCTGGAAACATGGACTCTGTTGAAGTTTAAAATGATTGGATCTGATTTACCCAGTTGCTAACATTTGGCTATGACATATGTAGTGCGCCAGCTCGACCGTGAAGGAAGCTAAGCTAAGAAGCTAACCGGATATTATGTACACCATAAGCAACCTTCCTCTACTGGGAAGAGAGAAGTACCGAGCCAAACGTGATGACTGTATGATGCTGCAGGCTTTGTCAGATAAATTCAATCTAATTTGGAAGTCTTGTTAACACGAACTGTATAGCTTCATTCACTTCCTCTGCTGATATTGCTAAACTACAGGCAGATTAAAACAGCTCGGAAAATTGTTCACAACTCCTCCTTCTGTTCGCTAATTGGCCCGGTTGAAATTCTACTGGAGAAATCCTTGTCTATGGGAGAAATCCTAGATGGAGCAAYGAAGGGAAAGTAGAATTGAGCGGAACTGTGTAGGAAGGCAARGGCCAGGCTAAAGATGAGCAATGTATTATCTTTACAGTCAGCGGATGCTATAGTAATAGCATATGAATAATCTAACACTGAGTTTCCTTTGGCCAAAATAATTTCCCATATTATATTGAGTCAGCTTTTTGATGCTGATGTTACTCACCAATACGTGCTGTGATAACGCCCAAGAATAACAGAATAATGGAGATGTAAGATTCTGGTGTTGTTCCAGATGGCACATTGTCAAAAAGCACAGTGTTGTTGGTCCAGTGGATGGAGGAGCGATCAGGAAGCAGTGGCTGGTTGCTTCCCCCCATCAGAGGATAAGGGTGTTTTTGTCTTTGGCTTGCCATGCTGTCACGCCCAGCAGAAGAACTAGAGCTTAAGTAGGGCATCAGCAAGTTCAGATCCATAGGGCTGCCAGGGGCAAACACAGAGCAGACACATAGCAACAAGCAGCCAAGGTGGAGGCAGCTGGAGATGATGCCTGTATTAATCAGGCCACAAGTCTTCCTGAGTCGGGTGAACATGACAGTGCCCATCAACCCTGTGATAGCCGACACGCCCATCAGTAGACTTAGAAGAGAGCCGCTTATGCCTTGCGTGTAGGCATAGCCAGTGGTGATGCAGTCAAATCCGAGGACTGTGGTGTAGAGAAAAGCCAGACCCATTCCTGCCAGAAAGACAGGCTGGTGATAGTAGGCCCTCCAGCCATCCTTACAAGTGCTCACCAGCCAGCGAAACCTCCGGAAACACAGCGGCAAGTTGGTGATGTCTTTAAGATGTACATTCGAGCTGCAGTTGCCCTCAGTCGGGGGTTGTGGTTGTGCAACGTTGCCTTCCCCTGATGAGAAAGAAGAATGGTAATCCAGCATTTCAGTTCATTAATTCCAAACGCTTAATCTTCAGTTGGTTTTCTGCAGCATTTCTGCTACATGTCAATTCTCACTTCATTTGTCAAATACAGTCTATCTACACTGATCTGCATGAGCTTCAAATGAAATGCTGACCATGTGTACTCTAGTACTGAGAATTGACTTGAAATAATAATGGCTTGTTGAAAATATAGACGTTGTATTTTTTACTTACTCCAGTTGTGATTTAATGCTTTGATAATTAAGCATATGTTGTAGATTACTACTAGATTGTTTATTGCGTAAAAGAGACATTTTATGAAGTATAAATTTGTCTTTCTTAATCAGTATATTCTTTGAACCAAATGATAATTATCTGACACATATATTGATAGTATTGCCATGTRCTGCCACAGAATCATTTTCAAAATGTTGGTAAATCATATTTAAATTTTAGTCTCTTTGTAACAAACCTTTTAAAAGAGAACCATCATGATTAAAGTAGTCAAAAATGGAAAAGACTAATCTAAACGTGTTCTGTGTGTGTAGTGAATAGATCCCAGACAACATTAATAATTATTATTAGTTATTATTAATATTCCCTACTCCTGTATAAGTGATCTACGTATGTCAATATTCCAATAATCATTTTCCACAAGCAAATACAGCTGTCATTTTGTCATCTCTGATAACACTAACTTTAACATACTTAAAAAATGCAATATTAATGCATGACAAAACAAAACATTAAAGTGCCTGTGACATCAATTTTTTGTAATAAAAATGAATGCATTTCTGGAAAGATAACATATTACAAAACAAATTTCACATCGCTCAGAAGAACGTTTGTTGTGATATTTGCATGTGAAGAAACAGGAAGTGATGCCAAAGGAGAATGTCAGCATGTAAACAAAGCGTTGTTACAAAAGCTAACAAAACAGACTGTAGAGAAGAATCTGATGTTTCTTTAGGTTATTTTTAGTCGCTATCAAAGAGAGACGAAGAAGAGTTAAAGTTTAAATAATTTTTGTTTAATAAACAGAGACCAGCGAGTTTATTTTATTAAAGAGTTCCCCTTTGATGTCACTTCCTGTTTCACTTTGGCTGAGCCTAATTCAAAAGAAAATAGGCCAGTTATGTGACAAAATGGGTAAAATCATGTGTACTATGCCAATTTTCTCAAGTATAAAGATGTTTTGTTTGACTTTGTGTATTTGAAGGATAGGCATGTCACAGAGTGGGTTCACATCACTTACACTTTAATGCAAAATGCATCACACTTAATGGAAAATCATTTCGCACACCCTTTAAAGCTGCAGATCAGGCAGTTCAAATACTGGATGCACCACCCACATTCAGCAATGACAAGAGCCTCTCGATCATGTTTGATACACACGTAAGTTTCAGTGGTAAGAACAAAATATTCTCTTTATCATGTCTGGGTGATGTTTCAGTTCACCATCAAAGAACGCACCCATTGGGGACCAGACCAGTTATTTAGCCTCTGTAAGCTACTTTRATAATATGAGAATAGTTTGGTTTAAGAGGCCAGGCCTCTTATAACATGGGCAAGAAAACTAATAGAAACAAAACAAATTTGTTTCATCATCTAAAAACACTTCGCCAGAGTAGAGCTTTAAAACACAAACCTTAAGTAGCAGCATGTAGGGTCTAAAACTAAACTAATGACTCAAAGTCTCAAACAGACTGTATCTTTGAGACCTTTTTTTAATGGCCAATATTGGCATTTTAAAATTGATTGGCTCTTTCTCTCTCTTTCTCTAATTCCTTTAGTGAGCATGATTTTGGCTTTGCAGTGTCTCTGCTTTTGCATTTAAAGACTCTCATTGCAGGACTCTTATAACAATAAAGTGCATTGTCATTACTCACAGTATAGGTTGTAGAAAATAAAAGCTGGAAAAACTCTTGATTGCAGTAATAAATGCTACTGAAAACATTTCAGCCTTTTCAAAATATTGTTAGAAACAATAATGCAATTTGTCCTGACTTATTGAGATACAGTTTTGAGGTTCTATTGGCCACCTCTACAAGTAGTTAATGTTTTTTTTTTTCATAAACTATCCCTTATATAACTTAATTTAAGCAAATTTTCTCAATGTCTCATGTTTTTAATCAGTTCTAACAGAAAGATGAAGCATTACAAAGTAAGTTCAGAAATAGTTTTCAATAAAATTAGATCATACCGTCCAACCTTCGTCTTTCTCTCCCTTCTCGATACACCTGATCTGTCTCGACTGTTGGTGGTTTGACTGAAAGAGCTGGGACGATTCGATACACCCTTGACAAGAAGAAGAACTCCACAATGAGAGACACCAGGTTCCACGCCAGGATGAAGCCACAGCCAACCACGTTGGAGGCCAGGGTCATGACCTGGCCCACAGCYAGTGGGGCCAGGATGTTGGTCACCTGATCTATTCGCCTCATGGTCGCATTCATTCCTTTTGTTGAGATCAAACACATGGAGATTAAAGTGGGTTCACTCATGAAGTTCAAACTACGCCAGAGGCCTCTTATGTTTTCTTTATTCCAGGCGTCTATCATGCTAAATAATTGACGTAAGCTTACAACAGTCAAAGAATCAAACCAAACGGTGTTAAAGTCAATTTCTCACCAGCCAGGTGACCTCGGTTGTAGCCCGTAATAACGACAATCCAGTCCCTTTGGATGGCAATGGTCAGCGCTGTGCTTGCAAGGTTTGCCACATCTGCCAGGATGATCACCACCGTATAACAAACCACCTTGTGTGAGTTTTGCGATGCAACATGTTACCAAGACAGCACAGAGTAGCCATAAACTCAGACGCAGAGAATTCAAGCACAAAGGACAGAGGGAAAAACAGCAGTAACGTTTCTCTGCAACTGTAAACTGATCAATAAATGAACAGTTTGTTTATTAAAGTATCAGCATATATTGGTCATACTGGGTGTACTTACAGTAAGCCATCCATCCCAGATCTCTTCAATCCTTTGCTTATATGAGAACACCAACATGAGCACAATGCTACATACAGTCACTGAGATGTTCTGAATGAAAAGAGATGCATGTGCAACTAAAATAGAAAACAGGTAGAAATATAGTTTCAGACTTTCATAATACAACCTAAAAAATATAATTATCTGATAGTCATGAGCGGTAAACTTTAAAGAGTCTGCTGGTTGAGTGTAGCCGTGAAATCTAGGACTGATTTTAATTTCAGATATCAGGTTAATGGAATTCACCACCCAGGTGGAGTAAATACTAGCAAATCTTTTGCCTCGAAGTTGGAAGCCAGTGATTTTGATTGCTGTTCTCTCAGTCCACACTGCTTTCTGCATTTGCCAAAAGAGTTTGAAATGATCACATACCTTTATTCCTAGGATTGCGATCTACCCAGTCTCCGATTAAAGCCCCAAGCAGGAGCACCGAGCCGGCCACCACCAATCCAAACACAGCTGTCAGCAGCAGGTTATGGCCGTACAACTCAATCAGGAACACAGAAATTGCAAAATGCCACATGCGATCACCCTGTTCAATACAAAACACAAGTTTATCCGTGTCTGTGAGTGAAATGCTGCCACACAACCAACAAGTAGTCTGCCAGGCATTACTGGTTGTCGGTTGTTCTTCAAATCAGTTCTTCAGAAATGTTTCTTACCCACATTGACAACGCTCCACTGACATAGATGAGAAACTTGGGACCCTTGAGGTAGATAAGAGCTGAACCTTACAAGCAAATGTACAAGAATCAAAACAAACTCCCTTTACAACACATTCCTGCACACATTCCACCTGCATTTAAAGTGAGGCTCACCTGGTATGCTTCTAGCTTTTTTAACTCTTGAATCCAGGGTGTCGTCTGACTCAAATTCAACCATGACGCCGCCACACCGAGAGGCGTCTGCTTGCTGGGACATTTCCTAGAAAAGAAATCTAAGTTTCAAAAACATAACTCTTTACCAGTCACCCTCTGATGGTATTTAATAAAAATGTTAAATGGAGTTTTTCCTCTCTAAGGTAGCGTTGGACAATATTGGCCAAAAAATGAATCATGATTAATTGTGGTATTTAGCCGATAACGATTAATTTGAGGATTAATCCTCTGGAGTCCCTGGACACCCTTATGTCCTGGTCACATGACCAATTTAATGAAAAAGATTTGCTCTCTGTAAAAATCTGTTCCAAATTGTGTCAAAATTTCAGACTTCATCAAATTTTAAATTGTGTTGATAAATAAATTACAGAATTTTTTAAAATGTTCGTCATATTTGAAGCAGAGAGGAGCATCAAGCGGACTCTGCCTGGTGGCATCAATCGTATTAATCGTCAAGTGCCAAAAAATAATCGATTAATGTTTTTCTGACGATTAATTGCACACGATACGATTATGCTCACCCCTACTCTAAGGCTGCCATGTCCTTCTAAATTCAAGCATTTGTAGCCTATTTGCTGAAGTGCTCCCTCAAGCAATTTTCTTCAATTAAATCACAAACAGCAAATACAGCAGAAAGTAATAATTAGGTCAAATCCAACTGTGAGGCAGAGAACACTAATGCAGAAAAAYTAGTTTCCTGTTATTAGATAGAGACTAGTGAAATAAAAGCATGCTATATTCAGTCCATAACTGGCTAAAATGAAAGTGGTTGTAAGAAGCGCGGAATCACTTGTCACCTTTGTTTGGAAGTTGTGCTCAGTCCTCGCCGGTATTCTTTAATGATGTATCTTGTGCCATGTGTCCTACACCAGGATGAGTCTTTTCCTGAGAGCTGGAATTCCAGTTGTAGTAGTTTGACAGGCTTAATAACATCACAGTGTTCAAGTGCACCATTGTATGAAAGTGCCAGAAAAGCAGAACAGGCAGAGGGACAACAAAGGCAGCCAGCATATTCCAGAGCACGTGACACTCTGCGGACAATATCACTGTCCACCCACATTGCACACAAAAAAGCGTTGCTGTGTATGACTCAAAACACACACACATATGGCCAGTGAGTGCATACATGCACCTGCTCCCATATACACTCACATGAGCTGTTAACATGTGAACAAAGTTACAGTACAGGCACATCACGCAACATTACATCACTCCTAGATTTGCATGAGCAAATAGCTGCTGTTTACACAAAGTAAAATTAGCGTCTTRGCTGTTTAAATTTGAGCCACAATATAAAGCATGAAATTAATAGATTAGTATTGTGAAATGACAACGGCACAGAATTGTAGGACATTGGCCGCAGACTTTTAATTTTGGAAATTATTTACCACAAACCAATGAGACTTCATTAGTTTCCTTTCAAACAGAGCAGGAAACTAGCTTTTGTTTGTTCCCAGTCAAAAAACATTTTTTATTCCAACCATTTTGTAAAGTTTTGGTTTTGTTTACAATAATAAGACAATAATAAAATTGGGTTTACAGTAACTTTCGTTAATTTTATGTGTACTAAGACTGAAATTTTTTTCATTTATACGGGAGAGGAGCTTAAACATGATGAACACCAGCACATGCTTGTCTATGAGAAAAGCCTGCTGTGCCKTTTGCCTTTTATTTATTAGTTATATAAAAATATAACACTATAACATGGATTTACAGTCTTGTAAAATTCTAATGTTTAAAGGTTCACTGAAATATTTTTCAATAGTTTCAAGTTTTTGCTCACATCAGAAATAAACATTAACTATTCACAATTGGAATCAGTGTTCAGTATGTTTATTCCTACCAATTTCTTTTTTAATTTCTTTTTTGAAATTGGAAATCCTAGTGTGTCTTTGTCAAAAATCAGACAAAGTTCAAAGACAAAAGTTAAATAAAACATTTAAATATAATTGACAATGTGTTATAATTAACCAGTTTTTAACAACTCTGTGTTGACAACATGAACACCAGCTGGACACATACATCTTCACCTTCTTCCCACAGAACAAAAACATGAACATTAGGCTTATTAGGGACAATTTAGAGTTACCAGATGTAAGTGAGAGAGTAATTAGTTGTTTGTCTCTCTGTGTGGTCTCTCTGTGTGGTCCTATGATGGACTTCTGACCTGTCCAGGGTGTACCGCGCCCCTCACACTGTGACTGTTAGATATGGGCACCAGTGACCCCCGTGACCCTGAGAAGAAGAAGCTTAAAATAATGGATGGATGGGTTTTAAAAAAAGTCAAGTAAAATCAGAGGTTTATAGTAACTAAGTACATTTACTTTGTTACAGTATTTACGTAATTTTTTTGAGAATTTGTAATTTTACCAAGTATTTTTTAAATCGTTACTTTTACTTTTATTTTGTTACATTTACAGCATAAAATTGATACTTTTACTTCTTCACTTTAAAATTTAACACCTAGTTACTTGTTACAAAATTAACTTTGTCCAAACTTATCATGAAAGGAGTTGTTTATGTGCTCTAAAAAATGAAGTGTTGAATTTACTCAACCAAGTCAGCTGGTTTCACTAGTAGAGTAAATATGAGGCAAGAATATTTTCTCCACTTGGTTTAGTGGAACCAGTTTGGTAAAACCCTTAACAGATCCCCCTTAAATTCCTTAAAAGCATTTTGACATTTTTTAAAGGGTGTCAAACTGAAGGGAAGAACTGGAGGAAGTTGTTTGACACCCCTAGTCCTCAAAATTAAAGAGTGTCTGGAAACGTTTAAAGGCAGAAACTGTACCATTATTGCCCACTGGCAAGTGTGTGAAAGTTATTTTACTTTTACTTTCCCAATTTTTCTGAACAGTTTCATGACTTTTACTTAAGTATTTTTCTCATCAGTGAAATTTATTTTTACTAATCATTTTCTGTTAAGGTATTTTTACTTTTACTTATTTTTTTCAAGTACTTTATAGACCCCTGAGTAAAACATTAGGAAAAACAAAGTCATTTGAGTCCTGGCACAGAATGAATCAGTCAGTGTTAACAGGCTGTATTAGATTCTATGCTCTCTGTCTTTTTGTAAGAGTTTTATTTCTTGTATGATCTATTTTTATGTCCTTTCCCCATTTCTGAGAGTAAATCCATTTTCCCTCTGTGCCTCTAGATGTCCTCAGTGCCATTATCCTGACACCCGATTACCTTGTTGCCACTTATTCCTTCTAATTATTTCACCTATCCTTTTTTACCAAGTTACCTTATACTTCATGGTTTTCATTTTTGATTGTCAAATATTGAAACTGATATAGAATATTTCAGTAGTTAAATGTATGTAAGTAAGTAAGTAAGTAAACTTTATTTCTATAGCACCTTTCACAGACAAACATCACAAAGTGCTTCACAGAAAGCAAAAATAATTAAAACAATAAAACAGATCACAGATATAAAAACAACAATTAAAACACATTAAAAACACTTAACTCAAAGCCTGTCTGAATAAAAATGTCTTAAGATGTTTCTTAAAAGATTCAGTAGAATCTGAGCAGTGAAGGGACAGAGGGAGAGCATTCCAGAGCCTCGGGGCCACCACCTGAAAAGCTTTGTCTYCACTGGTTTTATAATGGGTTCAAGGGACCACCAGCAGCATTTGATTAGAAGACCTCAAAGTCCTGGATGGACAGAGAGGCTTCAGAAGGTCCAGTATGTATTCGGGGGCCTGACCATGAAGTGCTCTGAAAGTTAAAACTAAAAATTTWAAAATGACTCCTCAAAGTCACAGGGAGCCAGTGCAGAGAGGCTAAACCAGGTGTAATGTGGGCTCTCCTGTGGGTCTTTGTTAATAACCTCGCTGCAGCRTTCTGCAMAGACTGAAGMCSAGTCAAGGAKGRTTTGTTTAGACATGTAAAAAGACTGTTGCAGTAATCTAAACGAGAAGAAATAAAAGCGTGAACAACCATCTCTAGTTCCTTCTGTGACACAAAAGATCTCAGCTTTGAAATGTTCCTTAAATAATAAAAACAGTTACGAACTAAAGTTTTACAATGGCTGTCAAAAGACATACAGTAGAACTATCAAAGACAACACCCAGATTTCTGAGACTATTTTTCACTGAAGGGGTTAAAAAAGCCAGGTGCTGCCTGATTACAGGGATTTTATCATCAGGGGCGAAAATAAGAGTTTCAGTCTTGTTTGCATTTAACTGCAGGTAGTTGTTGTTGTTGTTGTTGTTGTAGTTGTCACACTCCAGCAGGACATAATCATTAAAATAAAAGGACTGTACTTAAATGCCACCTATCTTGACGTGAGGACATTGTTAGGCAAAGGTTAGGTACTGCATACAAATATTTCCTGTCCAGTGTTTAATATTTAGCTAGATTAAGAACAAATGTAAACTCTGAAAACATCATACTCATAGATGAAGCACCACACATCTCTGTCCCTTTTTAAAACCCCAAACTGCTCAGCGTATATTGGGCCTAACGTTCCCTTTTTGTTCCGTTTCCYCCTCCTTCCAGCTACGGGACAATATCCTGTCCTCCAGCCTGGAGTTGGAGAGGATCATGATCTGTCAGACACTGTAGTGTTGTAAAGATACAGTGGAGCTCTGTATGGTGTTGAAATGTAAACCATGGCTCACGCTGTGAGAGAGCCTGTATGTTGGACCTCAGTTATACACTGACTAATCAGAACATCAGCTGGAGGTGTGCAGCCTTTGATGCTTGAGCTGAGTCAGAACAAACATGACAGTTTGACGCTATCTGTCCCTGATGGTGAGGGGTTAATTCACAAAAGTCCCTTTACTTATCGGAGATAACAGTAGGGGGTTTTATATGACTTAAAAGTTGTTTTAGCCAAACAACTCAATGTTCTCTCAGCACGTAGTCAAATGGATTTATGAGACAGTGAGTGTCACACAGTGACTGCTGGAGACGGGCACCAGCTTTACATGACTC